TCAAAATACTTACTATGGCCTACCAGCCTTACGGGGTCCAGCCGTGGTCTAGTCACCAGTTACTTTTCTGATGCCTTGTCCTGTTACCCTCTCTTGTTCATTCTGTTCCCACCACATTGGCCTCCTTGTTGTCTCTCTAACAACCCAGGCATGCTCCTGCCCCAGGGCCCTTGCAGCTAACTATACAATTCACTTCCTTCAGATCTTCACTCAAAGGTCATCATCTTCTTGGTGAGTCTTCGGGGACCACCCTAATAAGAACTTCAGCACCCTCCAGGCACTCCCTGTATCTTTTCCCTGCCTTTATTTTCTTCAGAGCCTTCGCTGCCTTTTAGTATTTGATATAATCATTTAATTTTTTTTTTTTGCCTGTTCCTTCCCCACAACTAGAATTTCAGCTCTTTGGGAACAGGGACTCTTTGTCTCTTTGGTTCACTTGCTGTAACCTCAGTGTCTGGCACATAGTAGGTACTCAATAAACATCTGAATAAATGAAAAGTCTTCAGAGGGGATAAGGGAAGCTAATAGAAGTACAGAAGTATTGCTAAGGAGTGCAGGGGGTGAATGGTGCTTTTAATGCTAGGAAAATTGTCATTTAAGGGCCTTGTATATCATTCGAAGGAGCTTGGATTTCATCCTCTAGGTGGTAGAAAGTTGGTGAAGGAGTCAGTGGTCCGCACTGAAATGTTAGAGATGCATTCCGAATGCACTGGGAAGAACAGGACTGCGTCAAGATTCACGCATGAGATGGTGATGGCCTGAACTAAGAGAGTGGCAGCTGAGGATGTAGAAAAGGAGATGGATCTGAGAAGTACTGTACTCAGAAGATAAAATTGATTGTACTTGATGACTGATGGGCTAGGGCAGTAAGAGTGAGCAGATAAGGAATCCCAGGTTCCTGGCTTGGGGCAGCCGGCTGAACGGTGGTGCCATTTAGTGAAATAAATACAGAAGAGGGGCACCTGGGTGGCCCTGTCGGTTAAGTATCTGACGTCGGGCTTCAGGCTGGGTGTGGAGCTAGCTAGATAGCTAGCTAGAAATAAATTTGATGTGGTCAAGGTGAAAGGCAACACTGGGTTCTAGGTGTGTCAAGGTTTGGAGAACCTGTGTGCTATCCAGGTGGAGATGTCCAGTAGGCAGCTGGATGCTTGATTTTGGAGCTCAGGGTGGGGAGGTCAGGGCCAAAGAGAAAGATCTGGAAGTCATCTACCTGTAGATGGTGTTTAAAGCCTTGGCTACAGTAGAATTCCCTAGAGAAGTTATATAAATTGAGGAGGACAAAAAGTTGCTGGTTATTAGTGCCAAACACTGCCCCCAAAATCCAGTAAGAAAATATCGAAAAAAAAAAAAAACCATCTACCAAATTTGGCAGGTAGGAGGCCCTGAGTGAATATATTTCATCTATTTAAATATTTCTTGAACATTTGCTACGTGTTGAGGATCCTGAAGATACAGTAGTGAACCCAACAGGCAAAAATCCCTCCTTCCACGGAGCTAAAACTCTGGTTGGGAGGAGTGGACAAATAAGAAAAGAAATAAGTAAATTATACCAAATCATAAAAGGCCGTGAGTGCTCTGAAAATAAAAGAAAATTTAAAAATTTAAAAAAAAGAAAGGCAGGGAACCAAGGCAGGCCTGGCCAGAATCAACAAGCAGAGTCACGGACGCGGATCCAGACTGCAGTGAGTAGAGCAGCGAGTGGGGAGGGAGGAAGTGGAGTCCGCCAGAGTCTACCGCTGTTTCAGTAAGTGCAGACGAGAAGGGAGAAGGGTCTGTCCCATTGACAGACGAGTGGATAAACACACGGTGGTACGGCCTCACAATGGTACGGCCTCACAATGGAATACTACTCAGCAATAAACGGGAAGAAACTATTGATGAACACAACAACATGGATGAATCTCAGAAGCATCGTGCCGAGTGAAAGAAGTCAGTCTCAAGGGGCGCCCGGCTGGCTCAGTCAGAAGAGCGTGCAACTCTTCATCTCAGGGTTGTGAGTTCGAGCCCCCCATGGGGTGTAGAGATTACTTAAATAAGTAAAACTTTTAAAAAATACTTTCAGAAGCCAGTCTCAAAAGGTTACATGCTGTTTGCTTCCATGGGTCTGACATTCTCAAAAGGCAAAACTGTAGGGACAGAGAGCAGACCGGTGGCTGCCCAGGGCTGGGAACGGGGGAGGCCTTGACTGCAAAGGGGCAGCGCATGAGAATGGTGGGGGCAGAAGGAGCAGTTCTGTGTCCTGATTGTAATGGTGGTCACACAAATGGATACGTATGTTAAAACTGCTAGCCCCTCTACCCTGAAACCAGGTAATTTTACTGTATATTAATGTGGGAATGAGAGGTTGGACTGTATCTGAAGGGCAAAGTCAAGATCGGCAGAAGGAATTGTTTTGAAGATGAGAGGGACTTGAGTTTATTCATTTGCTAAGGAGGAAAGTCAGGTATCTTGGGAAGGGTGCCCAAGAGGAGTTGAAAGGTGTGAGATCCAGGGCACCGGTGGGAAGAAAAGATGTTTATGCGAAGAAGCAAAAGGTGAGGCCCTGTACAATCTGTTTTCTCTGTGAACCAGGAGACCAGGTCACCTACCTAGAGTAGAGGAACGGGTGCGGGGTGCCGGGCGTCAAGGGCTGTGGGAAGGTTTGGCAGAGCCGCCTTGAAGAACAGGCAAGGATGCTCTGAAGGCTCGGTTCGCCGTACGAAAGCCCAGCAGAGGTTGGCAACCTCGAAGCTTTAGTGGTGCCGATCTGCCCCTTTGTGGATTCGTCTTCAGTGGCTTGGGGCAGAGCAGGGGTGTGTGGGTGAGAGCGGCTGAAGGGTGAGGGGCAAGGATTTTGAGAGTAGGAGCAGAAAAAGCTGGGCGAGGATTGGAAAGGGAAGCCACTGAAGCCAGCAGGGAACTGGTGGCCTGCGGAAGACAGGAGGGGGCAAGTGCCTGGGGGCTTGTGATGAATAATAGGAACCAGCGAGGGAGGGGGCCGGTGGATGAGTACACCGGTGGATGAGTACACCATCCACCGGCCGGTGGATGGTCCCGGGGCTTCTGAAGTCTAAGATTTGAGAGGTGGGTGGGGAGGACTAGTAACTTTAGGTAAGGGATTGTATTGCTATTTAGCATACTTTATTTTTTCTAAGATTTGACTTTATTTATTTGAGAGAGAGAGAGAGTGTGCACAAGCAGGGGGAGGGGCAGGGGCAAAGGGAGAAGCAGACGCCCTGCTGAGCAGGGAGCCCAAGGTGGGGCTCGATCCCAGGACCCCGAGATCATGACCTGAGCCGAAGGCAGACGCTTAACTGACTGAGCCCCCCAAGGCGCCCGTGATTAGCATACTTTCTGTGTAATAGTAATAGCACCAGCTCATACCTATTGATCCTTACCATGTGCCTGACACGGCTGATCACTTTACATGTGTATTTCATTTAGTTCTCACAGCAGCCGTACGAAGTGGGTACTGTGAATACGGAAACTAAGGCTCAGGAGGGTTAGGTAAGTGCCCAGGGTCACGTGGCCCGTACGTGAAGCGGCCAGAACTAGGCTCTGACTTGTCCGACTCCAGAGGTTCTGCTTTTCGGACTGTTAGACTATACTGCCTCTCCCACATGGAAGATCTTCTTTGGTTGCTGTTTCTTTACTTATTTTTAAGTAATCGCTACAGCCAACCTGGGGCTCGGAACTCAGGACCCCAAGATCAAGAGTCGTGTGCTCTTCTGACTGAGCCAGGCATGCGCCCCTCCTAAGTGGAAAATCTTGATTCCACTTCACTAGAATGCTGCGCTAGTCTCAACTAGACGTTTCAGAAACAAACCAAAGTATGTGCGAAGCTTCATGTGAACTTGACACCGTTACCGAAAGCCAGCTCTGAGAGGCTGTCCCCCTCCCACTGGGCAAGAGGTGTCAGTTTTGTATAGAGATGGTCCACTGAAAAGTCCTTTTGGGGCGCCCAGGTGGCTCGGTTGTTAAGCGTCTGCCTTCGGCTCGGGTCATGGTCCCAGGGTCCGGGGATCGAGCCCCGCATCGGGCTCCCTGCTCAGCGGGAAGCCTGCTTCTCCCTCTCCCTCTCCCCCTGCTTGTGTTCCCTTTCTCGCTGTCAACTAAATAAATAAAATCTTAAAAAAAAGTCCTTTCACCTGATCCCAAAACTGTCTTCTACTGAAAGACAAAAATGTTACTTTCAGAGATGGAGCATGTTGGTGATCAGTCAGGATAGTTCTGCGAGTCGTGATGAAGTCCAGGAAGTGGCCAAAGTTGTGGGTGGCCAAAGAGGCGTAAAAGTAAGGATCACTGAAGTCGAGGTCCAGAAACTGGGTGTGGGATGGGTTGGTTGTCTTATAGATGCTGAAGTTCCCTAAGATGATGGTGAATCTGGAAGAAGGGAAGCCACCAGGTGGCACGGTCTTCAATGAATGGAGAAGACCTTCAGGAGGTCAGGAGTGCGAGCAGCAACAAGGAGTGTGGCTGAGGGACATGAGCCCCAGGCGAGAACTTCTGGCACAAGAGGGAAGGAATCGGGGTCTGGGGACAGTAAGAGGGAACTAGAAGAATGCCGCCATCCCTCTGCTTTTCACCCTGGGACATCTGGGATGTGGGGAAGTGAGCAGCCCACGCTTGAGAGCTTCACAGAGGAGACATCAGTTAAGACAAGGAGACCAGGGGAGGAGGGGTATTTAGAAAAGGTTAAGGGCACGGGAGAACGTTTATCATGTCCCGGGGGCATAGGTTGGGAAGCGACGTTAAGTATGAGGTTTAGCCTGTCCTGAGTGGTTGCTTCCTTCCAAGCAAAATAAGCCACAAATAGGTGAACGGGGTGTCCTGACTTCACTGCGCGTTAATATTCATTCTGAGCCCGTCGAACAAGCGCCCTGTGGCACCCATTCTTGGCAGGCATCTTGGCCAAGAGCATAGCAACCAGAGCCCAGACTTGAGACCCTGGCTTCCCTGGCTAGAACATTTCTTTCCTGGTGACCAAATCACCGCGTCCCATCTTCTGTATTTCCTGCCAGGCTCAGAGCCCGCACCTTCCCCACCATGGAGGAGTGGATGTCCATTTCTCAGGAGCAGTGGACTGCTTCCGGCAGATAGTCAAAGCCCAAGGGGTCCTGGCGCTCTGGAATGGACTGACAGCCAACTTGCTGAAGGTGAGAAGGGCGGTCCATCCCTTGCTTCCCCGCCTCTTCGGATTCTAGCCCTTTCCCTTGCCGCTCCCCTACAGGTTGCCTGGGGACACCCCCGTCTAGCACTGACCCATGAGTGCAGGCTGGCAGTCAGCCCGGAGACAGGGGGGACCCTGTGCAGTGGCAGGGCATCTGACACCCCATCCTGGAGGAGCTGAGCATTCAGCGTAGAGGCTCCTGACATGAGGGTTCATGGACTCCTAAGGGGAACCTAATGCCCCAGCCTAACAGCATATGCAAAAATGTGTAGGTATGTGCATCTCTCTGGGGAGAGGATCCATAGCTTTCATCATATTCCCGAAGAATTTCATGACCCCCCCCCACAAAAGAAAGGTTAAGAACTCTGGACTAACCTCAAACAAGTGTCAGGTTGTCCACAGACATATTAATCCAGGCCATGCTCCCCCAACCCACACTGTGTCAGCTTTCATTCTGCCATCTTCCCTGACTCCAAAAAGAATGATGTTGTATTGTCCACAGCCTTTACCTCAGTTTACCCTGGTCCAGGTTGACTGCGGATGCACTGACATTTTCTTTTTAAGATTTTAACATGATCTTCGTTTCTTTTTAAACAGATAGTTCCATATTTTGGAGTTATGTTTGGCACCTTTGAGTTCTGCAAGAGAATCTGTCTTTACCAAAATGGTTACATTGTGTCTCCTCTGAGCTGTAAATTGACCCCAGGGGTGGATCAGAGTTTGAAGCCCCAGGAATTGCGGGAACTTAAAAAGTTCTTCAAAACTGGACAACTGAAGTCTAAAAAACCAACTCTGTGAAACTGAATGAAACAAGAAGTGCACTGACCGAAGGCGTGTTATAATCATTAAAAAAAATGTCGCCTCATTAACTGTGTGCGCGCGCAGTGGTGAGAGGATACTCCCATCTGCTGCTCTTGGAATGAGAAGATTCAGCCACAGAACCAGCTCCAAGCTCCAGACTGATGTCCTGGTGAACGCCTGTGCCATGGAAAAGCTTCCCAACATGACTGCTGCATGGTGGCCTTCCACCAGATTTTATAACAAAACCTAGCATTAACGAAACGTGCGAGTATACTCCGTAAATGTGCAACTTACACGACACCAAAGGAAGGGCATCACCATGACCTCAGAGTCTCATGTCCTCGAAGCAGCTGAGCAAATAGCACATCAGGAGCTCAGCCACAGGGTTGCAGCTTGCGCTAAACCCACACTGGCCTCGCGTTGCTCCATTCGACCCGAGTCTTCCCAACATGCTTGTTCTGAAACTCCTAATGTTTGCTGACTTCTGCGTGTGCACGCTATAGCGTAAATTATACCTTACCAGAAACTAAAAGGGGCGCCTGGGTGGCTCCGTCGGTGAAGCGTCTGCCTCCGGCTCAGGTCATGATCCCAGGGTCCTGGGATCGAGTCCCGCATCGGGCTCCCTGCTCCGTGGGGAGTCTGCTTCTCCCTGTCCCTCTGTGGGTGCTGTCTCTCTCTCTCAAATAAATAAATAAATCTTTTTAAAAAAGAAACTAAATTAAAACCTTTAACATTTAGAAGTCATCACTCTCTCATAGTAGAACCATCCTTTTTTATTTAAATTTGAAGCATCTCAAGCTTAAGAATTTCAGGAATCTTTTTTCAGGAAGGCAGTTTTTACTGTGACCGCTTAATGCCCCAGAAGACCTTCTTCCAATTGAAATCATGTACAGTTGAAGTGGCCTGAATTCTCTGCCTTTTTCACTTGCTTTGCAGGCCTACCCTGAAAATAAATTATTTGTCAACTTAAGTTATTCTCACAAGATGTCCCAGTTGTCTAGAAAAGGACCAAATAGAACATTTGACACACATCAAAAAGAAAAATAGAACTGAACAAAAACACTTCAGGCTTGGGGCGCCTGGGTGGCTCAGTCGGTTAAGCGATTGCCTTCGGCTCAGGTCATGATCCTGGAGTCCCGGGATCGAGTGCCGCATCGGGCTCCCTGCTCGGCGAGGAGCCTGCTTCTCCCTCTAACCCTCCCCCCCCATGTACTCTCTCTCTCTCTCATTCTCACTCTCTCAAAATAAATAAATAAATCTTAAAAAAAAACAAAAAACTTCAGGCTAATCATCTCTACTCGATTTTTTAAAAATCAAATTTTGGGTTATTCCACCTTGGGAACTCCATGTCAAGTTTATATAACCTTACTTTCAAATAGTGCCTATCTATGCATTAAAAGACAATAATATTAAATTGTTAATTTATACACACACACACACACACACACACAGGCTTTCAGTATGTTGCAAGTATTTTTCCCTGTTAAATGTATTTTCCAAAGAAAAATGTTGTTTGGTCATTCCTTCCTAAGGTGAGTTATAGCAGAGGAATAGCAATTAATACAGGAAGATCTCATCTGTAGCCCAATCTGTTACAGTTTGGAAGGTGGCAACTTCTTTACCCATAGTGAATAGTCCCTATTTATTAACTCTTCATATTCCTTGAGGCGATGAATTTTTTTAAAGTTCTGAAATCTGCAAAAAAAATTATTTTTTTTTACTAGCTCTAAAATCCTAGCCTCAAGTTACTTACATCGTGTTAATATCTTCTTTGTATTCTTCCACCCATATTATGAGATGGATAGCCACACTCTTGCTACTGTCACACACAGGAATGTCCTCTGAGCTGTAGTTTTGGCTTTTTCAATAAAGTTAAGTGGGGAAAAGGAATGCCTCATTTTTCTAATTTCAGGACAACTCTTAAAACTCTAGTTTTGGAGGGGCTCCTGGCTGGCTCAGTCGGAAGAGTGTGTGACTCTTGATCTTGGGGTCATGAGTTTGAGCTCCACATTGGGTGTAGAGATTACTAAAATAAATAATAAATAAATAAATAAATAAAATTAACTTTAAAAAACCTCTAGCTTTGTTCCTAAAAATAAACTTCCAGCTTATTTTCATTTTCTCAGGGAGTGTTCTGCTTTTCTGCTTTATGGCTGGCAGTGTGCATCAAACTGGACTAAGTACTTTAGGAGGATTATAAAGAAATGTGATACAATATTAACCCAGGAGAAGCACAGTCTTAAAGACAAAACATCCCTACATACAAGAAATGGCCCTGATTACAAAGCAAATATAAGCAAAGACATGATAATGTGGTAGCAACTGTCTATAAGACTACCAAGGGGCTCCCTGTATACCTACTGAATCAATGATTAAAGGGATCATCATAGGGGCGCCTAGGTGGCTCAGTCAGTTGAGCGTCCAACTCTTGAGCTCAGCTCAGGTCTTGATCTCAGGGTCGTGAGTTCAAGCCCCACACTGGGCTCCACAATGGGTGTGGAGCCTACTTAGAAAGAAAAAAGAAAGGGATCATCATAGGTGAAAGGAGCTAGTAACGAGTCTTGAGCTAAGTTTTGAAGGAAAGGAGAGGATATTAGTTGGTCAAGAATAGTTTGGAGATCGAATAGGTCTAAGGATACGTTGCAGGTTGAAGGTGGGGCATATGCAGTGTCGCAAAGATGGAAGCAAGCAAAAAGTGGGATAGAGTAAGAAGACTGGCTTTCACACATCAATTTGACAACTATTGGGACCTCTGGACACAGTGGAAAGTAAAGCAGATAAGTTCCTTGCCCTCATGGAGCTTACGTTCTAGAAGGTTGAGAGTCAATAAAAAAGTAATCTGCAAGTCAGGTAATAATAAATTGTAATGGTATGAGGGGAACAAACAGGGTGCTTTACCAGAGAATTAGGTGGGAGTGAAGGAAATATTTTTTTTTTAAGATTTTATTTATTTATGTGACAGAGAGAGACACAGCGAGAGAGGGAACACAAGCAGGGGGAGCGGGAGAGGGAGAAGCAGGCTTCCCGCCGAGCAGGGAGCCCGACGCGGGGCTCGATCCCGGGATCCCGGGATCATGACCTGAGCCGAAGGCAGACGCTTAACGACAGCCACCCAGGCGCCCCTGAGGGAAATATTTTAAGTGCTCTGAGAGGTGATATTTGAGATGAGACCTGAAAGATGACAATGAGCCAACCGTGCAGAGAGCTCGGGAGAAGAGCATTCTGGCAGAGAGCACAGAGGTGCAAAAGTGCTACTGGTAGTGGGAAAAGACCGGTAGTGTGGTGCTCAAGGGGGAGTGTGTGAGAGATGAGGCTGGACAGAGGGCCAGATCATACGTCACTGTTGGCGCCATAATAAGAAGTTAGATTTTGGGGCGCCTGGGTGACTCAGTGGGTTAAGCATCTGCCTTCGGCTCAGGTCATGATCCCGGGGTCCTGGGATCGAGCCCCGCATGGGGCTCCCTGCTCAGCGGGAAGCCCGCTTCT